ACACACACACATATATATATATACATACATACTACATTATATATATATAATACACACACACACACACATATATATATATATATATAATACACACACACACGCTATATAATATATATATATATATATAAAGTGCGTGTTTCGTGTATGTAAATATAGTTCCCTATCATCGCGTTAAGTCAGTCTGAATTTGCAATTGCACTCCTATTTCCGGCTATCCGTTGGTGTCAGATCTTAGTATAGCCCGCACACTTATCGGGAAGCTACACGACCGGGAGTAGAACACGCGCTATATAACGCCAAACCCACTTAACACCAGATCCCACCTTCAGATCGGAGAATATCGTGCTCTGCGACCAAGACATAGGCCGGAGGCAGGTCTTTCATCTCTTCCTTGGGGGCCTTTAGCGGGGCAAACAACTTGTCATCCAACGTGGAGATGGGATTCGTACCCAGATAACGGCTCCAAAAGTGCACCATCACATTCCGTGGAAGAGATACTCCCGCGTCGCCGTACTTGCGCGCCGATTGCGAGAACACGTACGAAGCGTCCACACAGGGGTACAGCAGTACCTGGGGATAATGGTATGGTACAATTCCGATGGAGGTGCGTTAATAACGTTTTATGCCGTGTCACACAGGGGTACAGCAGTACCTGGGGACGATGGTATAGTTTAATTCCGATGGAGATGCATTATAAATGTTTCATTCCGTGTTCAAATTGGAAATATAATCTAGTAGTTACCTATCTGCAGTAGTTCACATCTCCTTTACTCAGTCACAATCGTGCAACATTGCTCATTTTAACGGGGGTTCAACATGGTGTAGAATAAGCTCAAGCTCAAATCCACAACTGATTTACATGTACCTAGCTATATATGTTCAATACAAATATACAATGAAAATTGCTTGTTTAAACTGTAATTATAATACATTATAGATATATTATATATTATATTATATATATATATATATAATATTCACACATACATATACATATATATATATATTCACACATACATATATGCACCTATAAACAGATATACATCCACAATCCCATCTGCATTAATTTAAAGGTCAACGATTCGGTTTTCTGAGACCGACCAGCATGACAGGCACCTGGACCGAGATCATACAGTGAAATCCGTTTACTCCAATATTAGTTAAAATGCCTGTTTGGCTTCATAGAACTCCAGCACGTGCCCTTTTCAGAACTCCAGGGCATTGCTCATCATATGACATATCTTAGGTTCGATTGGGAATTCTTTTACACTTAGCACTATCTTGGGCTACCCACCTGTTGTTTGATGGATATCTTATTTTCCTTATCTGAGTACAGTTTCAGAGATACAGCTGCCGCTAGATTCCCGCCGGCACTATCTCCCATGACACTGAGGCGGTTTCTAGGGAATAGATTTGTGTATGAATTCCATTTGGTAACATGAATTAATGCTCAAGCAAGCATTTAGCCGCCTCAAAACACACCCAGACCTTTCCATTACGCGTGAGCAATGTCCGGCAATCCGGTATGTCACACAAAACAGTTGACATTCCTTTGCAACCAGCTAGAATCATTCAGTTGCTAAATTTCATCGGAATCATTGAAAAGGATATGTGAGAGCCATCAACACCCAAACCAAAATCACTTCAACTCCAAATGTAGCAGACAAGATGGGCATCATTCCGAGTACAGGCTATCAGGAATTTATATATCAAGCCACGACGCACCAAATATTGGTTTTAGCTCATTGTTCCGTCCTACTATGCACCAATAAGACAGATACCTAAGAGGTTGAGGATATACACACACACGCGCGCGAATATAGCTCGTCGATCATACATACACGCCTGTGCACACAGAAATCCTGCACAAGTACCTACATACGTAAACACACACCCACACCCACAACACAAAAAGGGATCATAGTGGCATACAAATACCTCCTTCAGTACCACAGGCAACCCAGGCGCATGTTTACCTGCTGATGTGCAGGTCAGCCGCTTTAGCATGCATCCACTTCATCACACACTCAACCTCATCTAAAGGCTGCGGATATTGACTTGCGGGTGCCAGCGTGTAATCGGGTGCAAATACGATAGCACCGGTTTTGTGCACGATGTGGCGTATCGAGAATCTGTATGTTGGTATATCACCTGAGGATGATGATGCAGTAGAAGGTGTTAGTTGAAACAATCTATACTTGAAGAAAAGAACTCGATTTCTCTATACGGCGTGATAAACGGGAAATATAAGACGACAGCCATGAAGAATTTGGTTTGGAATCAATGTGAAAAAATCAAAATATGTTTCGTGTCACAAATGATTGGTCTTAAGCCAAATATCATACTCTGGCTGGAAAGACGCAGACCGATCACACGAAATATATAGCAGATATCGTTAACGCGCTTACCGATAGAAATGAACAAACAAAACGTGTTTAATACAGTGATAACATATGTATATGTCTCACACACTCAAACACGCACACACACAGTCACACGCACACAGGGTGACACAGAAAGAGTACAGTAAGAGACAC